TTACAGCGCAATTTTTCCTCGTTTGACACACTTTTTCTACGAACAAAGGTTAGTTTCCGTGACATGTTGCGTAAAATCCAGTTGGTGTGATTTCGTGCGCCAAGAGGCGGGGACGACTTTGATTTTTAATATAGCGTCGTCTGTACTGCCCTTGAAAACTCTTACTTGCAACAACATAGAAATAAACCAATGTCCGGTTCGTCTGTACCGGATACAGACTGTCTCACAACATGCGCCTTATGCGTGCACACAGAGAGTTCTGTCCTCGTACGACGTTGCCACACAATGTTTCCCAGGCTGTGCTGACCTTTTTTTCCTCCTGGGATGACGCAGCAACTGTTGTCAAGAATTATACATATATTCTGGCAAGATCAAGAAATTTTAATTACCACTTGATATGAGATTATCATCTTATGTTTCCTACAGTGTTTGTACCTCTCAGAAAATGTTTAACTTGCCATATACTCAAAGAAAAAGCTCGCTCTGAACAGATGTAAATCACACCATGTTTATCAAAGCCATCAGTCGTGCATTACACTTCTGTATGCCAGCTTTGATAAATTAAAATTCGAACATGGCTCCGAAGTTTAGGGGACTAAAGCGAATCGCTTTGTAATTGAGGCACGAATAAACAATTAAATTTTGTAGCAGTCCCCCAAGCCACAGCTTGATCTATTCCCCACAAAATAAAATCTTACCTAACTGACGTCCATTACTAGGAATTGCTCCACGTTGTATTGATTTACCAGACGGGCCTGCAGGTCCGGGAGGTCCTGGTAACCCTCTGCTGCCTCGTTTTCCCTGGGGTCCAGGAAGACCCGTAGTTCCCTTCCTCCTCTTTTACCAGGAGGACCCTGGGGACCAGTAGGTCCAGGTGAACCGGGAAGGCCTGGTAGCCCTCGTGGTCCTGAATAACGTAATGAAATTAACACAAGCTCACTCATCCTATATATGGGGACTGAAATGGACTCAACAGATGCGTGAGTCAATTGCTTCGTGCATGAGAAGACTTACGCAAGTTCGCGCTAATTGTTTCTGCGCATCCTTAAGGTGGCCGAACACAGTTTTCGCGCGCACTTTTGCTGACGCAATTCAGCGCGCGCACAAGGACTGCAAAAAAACAAACATGCCGTAAATAGAGCGATCATTTGATTTACTCAACACCCATACTATCTGTGCTATTTTTCTCTGTAACTGAACGCAGTGTATTGATGGCTTTAGTCTTTTATTACAAAGATATGTTAGAAAAGGTAACAATGCAAAGAACCTAGCAACTCTCAGCTTTTTCTTTGTTACCGCAAACTCACATTCCACGTNAAGAATTATACATACATTCTGGCAAGTTCAAGAAACTTTAATTACCACTTGATATGAAATCATCATCTTATGTTTCCTATAGTGTTTGTACCTCTTAGGAAACGTTTAACTTGCTATATACTCAAAGAAAAAGCTCGCTCTGAACAGATGTAAATCACACCATGTTTATCAAAGCCATCAGTCGTGACATTACACTTGTCACTTCAGTAAGCCAGCTTTGATAAATTAAAATTCGAAACGTGGCTCCGAAGTTTAGGGGACTGAAGCGAATCGCTTTGAAATTGAGGCACGCATAAACAGTTAAATTTTGTAGCAGTCCCCCAAGCCACAGCTTGGTCTATTTCCCCACAAAATGAAATCTTACCTAACTGACGTCCACTACTAGGACTTGCTTCACGTTGTATTGATTTACCAGACGGGCCTGCAGGTCCGGGGGGTCCTGGTAATCCTCTGCTACCTCGTTTTCCCTGGGGTCCAGGGGGACCCGTAGTTCCCTTTCTTCCTCTTCTACCAGGAGCACCCTGGGGACCAGTAGGTCCAGGTGAACCGGGAAGGCCTGGTAACCCTCGTGGTCCTAAATAACGTAATGAAATTAACACAAGCTCACTCATCCTATATACGGGAACTGAAATGGGCTCAACTGAAATGGGCGTGAGTCAATTGCTTCGTGCATTAGAAGACTTATGGACGTTCGCGCTAATTGTTTCTGCGCATCCTTAGGGTGGCCGTATGGTTGGCCATTCGTTTCAAAATTACGACAGG